AAAGAGCAGCGGGGATGCTGAAATGCCACGTGATACCGAGAGATGAAGTAAAGTTTTGGGTAAGATTGGAGGTGAATTGTGATCCGTTGTCTGAGAGAATTTCGGAAGGTGTGCCACGTTTCGCAAAAAATCTCCGTAAACTTCTTATGCATGATTCAGCAGTAGTGTCCGGGACAAGATCTAAAAATAAAGCACGTGTAGTAGCACATGTAAATAAAAATATCCAAACTTTATATAAATTATTTCCCTCATAAATATTTTTTAAGTTTAGGTCTAGTTGCAGTTGCTTAAAATTTTTATCAGTAGTTATTGCTCTTTGAACGAATATGATCCATGTCTTAAAAGCTTTTTCTATTTCAATTGAATCTAAATTAGATAACTTTAAATGTTTTTTATCTTTTTTAAGTTTTAAATTAGTAATAAATCGTAGTACAAAGGCTGTAACTCTTAACAATCGCAAATAGTTATTAAATCGAGTAATGTCAATTATACTTAAGTCTAAATAATGCTCATTTAAAACTAAATTAGTAGTAATTTCTTCGATTTTATCAATTACATTTCTTAATTCAAATTTTGGTCAGTCCTTTGGATCATTATAAAGAAGTACTGGTCCGTTGAACCATGTTTTATTACTAGATAAGGTTTTTAAGTTTGTACCTCTGGATATTATGTCAGCAGGGTTGTTGTGTGTTTCAATATATCGCCAATGCAAAATGTCAAATGTTTTTCTAATTTTTATAAGTCTCTTTTGTAAAAATGGCTGCTTAACTTTATCAATATTATTAATCCAATGTAATACTATAGTAGAATCACACCAACAGACTATTTGTTTAAATTTAAGTACAGGGTATAAATCTCTTTTAACTGTTGACATAGTTTCAGCTAATAATAGGGCTGCCTTTAATTCAAGTCGGGGAATAGAGGTATTTTTAATTTGGGCAATCCTAGACTTAGCAGTTATAAGTGAACATATTTTGTGCTCATCATCAAAGGAACACAACAAGTATATACAACAACCAAATGCTAGATTACTGGCATCACTAAATCCATGCAATGACAAGTCAACAACATGATTTGAATAATTATTATGGTACCACCTAGGAATGATAATGGGTTTAGAGGATTGAATGTCATTGATAATGGCTTGTCACACCAATAACATTTTTCCCTCAAGAGGCTTGTCCCAATTAAGTTTTTTGATACACTTGACTATAAATGGATTAATTATACCAAGTGGGTCATAAATGCTTGCAATAAACTGAAGAACTTTACGTTTTGTTGGAATCGAGTCATTATTGTGTGTCAAGTTTCTAAAATCAAAGATTAAGTTGTCTTCTTTTTTATTCCATAATAAGCCTAATACTTTAGTAAGATTAAAGGAGGTAAAATTTTGTTCATTTACTAGGTTTTCAAGTTGTTTGCAGTTCGATTCGAATTTTCTAAGAGTAAAGCCAGCTTCTTTTAATCGATCTTGACATTTTTGATAAAAATTAATGGCTGAGTCAATTGAGTCAGCTCCTGAGTTCAGATCATCAACATGTAAAGAATTCATTAATTTATTAACAAATATAGGATCATCAGAGAGATACTTTTCAGCGTGAGTAATGAGTGTAGCAGAAAGAAGAAAGGAAGAAGATGTAACGCCAAACAGAACTCTGCAAATTCTATATGGAATAATTTTTTGAGTAAATATATTGTCTTTAATAAGTGCGTTAATGTTCTCGAACCACAAAAATCGGACGTAATCGCGATCTTCAGGAGATAATGTAATCTGCAAAATAGTTATCACTAAGTGGAGGATGATCTTCTTTAAAGGGCAAGTTAACATTATAGCGTTTGAGGGTATTATTATATTTAATGGTGTGACGAAACCTATCAATGACCTCATAATTACACTCATTCGTCTCTTTAACACCCCATACAGATGTCATGGATTCTTTAATTAATGATTTGGGAGATGAACTTGATTCAACAAACATGACATGAGCTGTATTTAAACAACAATTATAATTTTTATTGTTAAACATATTATTAACATTAATAGGACCACTTAATAAATAACCTAGCTTAGATTTAATGGCAATTGGATCAAAATAATTTCCCCTAATAATAGAATTTTCAATAAAGAGCCAGTAATAATCTGCCCCAATCAAAACATCAATCCCTAAGTTTCCGTTTTGCAAGTTACTATCTGCTAGTCTTAAATTGTGTAAGTGTCTATACTTCTTTTTAGCAAGATTTATATATTGTCCATTGAGAGGCGCACAAATATCTTTTACATAACAGTTAATTTTTATAATTTTTCCAAATAAGCATTTAATTTTTAACTCAACTTTTTCTAGATTTTCTCTACTGCTTTTATTTCCAAATGTTTTAATGTTAATATTCTTTTTTCCTACACATTCAAGTTTTAATTTACGACACAAATTAGGTGATATGTAGCTAAGCTGCGAACAGTTGTCAAAAAGTATTCTGCAATTATGTAATCTGTCATTTATGTCAAATACATCAGTGGACGCAGTTTGGAGTAAAATGGACTGATTATTGTTACTTGAAATGGCTGTTAGTTCACCTTTTTGTAATTCACTATTCTGTTTTTCTAGACAAAGTGCTATATGATGCTGATTACCACATTTAAAACATTTGATACAAGATGGACAATTCTTTGATGTATGACCACTTCCTAAACATTTAAAACACAGATGTTTTTCACTAATTATTCGTTTTTTATTTTGAATGTCTGTTATGAACTTGCAGTATTGTGATTTATGTGATCTGTCACAAAAAAGGCATTTGATAAATTGTGGTATATTGGTTGGATTATTTCTATCAAAGTATGAATTTTCTTTAACTTCCTTACTGTAATTAAATTGACGAGGGTTTCTGTTAAAATTTGATTTTTCATAGTTATTGTTACTTGTAAAAAATGTTTCAGTTGTATAAGTTTTATCAACATTGTTATTTAAATTTAATGAGACTTGTTCTCTTGCACGTAAGAGAACAAGAGCGCGACAATCTCCATACTCCAATGCATCTCAAAAATATTGGAGCGCATAATGTATAATAGAATTTTTACATACCGTCAAAATCATAACATCCTCTATATTAATAAATACGGATTTAAAAAAGGCCACTCAATTTAACATGCTGTAATAATATTAGTTAACAAAATTTTAAGTGGCTTTGACAAAAACAAACACACCCTTGGAGTATTTATCGACCTTTCAAAAGCTTTCGATACAGTGGACCACGAGGTTCTTCTATACAAACTTCTACAAATTTTTATGGTATAAAAATTAAAAATTTTAATTGATTCAGTTGCTATCTAAAAAACTGTAAACAAGCCTTATTTTACAATAAAACATACACTCCCATTGAATTCGTCACATGTAGTGTTCCCCAGAGGTCTATTTTAGGATCTCTGCTTTTCCTATATAAATGACATATTTTTATCTTCCAGTATATTGAACTTCATTCTTTTTGCAGATGACACTCAAGCTTTCTATACCCACTCTAACATTTACTTTTTAATACAGTAAACCAGGAACCTGAAGAGTTGAGTGATTGGTTTAAAGCAAACAAACTTTCTATCAATATTGAGAAAAGTTATTATAACTTTTTTCACAAAACAATACAATTCCGACAAACTACCATTAAAACTTCCAGATATTCTATTAGACAAAGTTAGACTAAATCGAGCGTTCAGCGTTCTCAGTTAAACTTCTCGGGGTATTATAAGATCAACATATTAGCTGGAAGGACCACATTAATATATTAAAAAACAAAATATCTAAAAACATTGGAATTATGCATAAAACTATATATATTTTAAAAAATACATGCCTTAAAAGTTTCTATTTTGCGTATATACATAGCTAAATTAACTACTGCAATATTGCCTGGGCTAGTACTTACCAATCTAAACCAGATTTAATATATAAAAAACAAAAATCAATCAAACGCAAATCAATTCTAAACATTAATGAAGGAACTGAGAGTTCTTAATATCCATGAACAAAATATATAATGCATTATTCAATTCATGTTTAAACTCAAAAATGATATGGTACCTGAAGTCGTCCATAACTATTTTTGCCTTATTAATCACAAATATCAGACAAATTACTTTATCAAGAACTACTACATTCCGAAAACAGCTCTAAGACAATCTAAATTCTCAATATCCAGCAGAGGAACCTAATTGTGGAATTCATTTCTAACAAACAAAATAAAAACAATAAACTTATTCCAACATTTTAAATGCGTTGTCAAGTAACAGCTACTAGACCTCAACATTAATGAAACAATCTTTTATTTTTAAAATTTTTGTAAATTTTAAAATTTTTCCCTTTTTAAATTTAAATCTTCACTTTGTCTTGAAATTCTATTATATTACTTGCGTAGTTATTTAATGACCTTCATTGTAAATAATAAAAAAAAAAAACTTATGTATAATAAATATCTTATGTATTATTATATTTGTATTTGGTTTGTATTTTGTAATATTTCGTCAACAACAAATATCGGGCAAAATGATAAGACTATTGTCTTCTACTTGCTCCACTCATATTTCACGCGTGAGATATATGACTAGAGCAATTTACATTTGACACGGTGAACAATCGCGCTATTTTATAGTGCGCATGCGCAATTTTTGTTAAAAAAGTATTTTTTTTTATTAATTTTTTTTTAAAGACATCCTAAAAATGTAGCTCATAGCTTTCCTTTAAAGATGTATAATATATGTCCCATTATTTAAATTGATTAAAATATGACCATGGAAAGTTTCTTTTTTTAAAAACTTTAAAATTTTTAAATTTTAGTGTCATAAAATACGCGGGAAACTCAAACTTTTTTTATGGTTATGTATACTACTAAAACTGGATATTTAAGCGTTTATTTAAATTTTTATGCTTTAAAACCTAATATATTTAAAAACTAGAAGAATTATTCTTTATTTAAAAAAAAAAATTAGACTTGGGTAACTTTTTTAAGTTATAAAACACTCTACGTCAAATTCTATTATTTAGCTGTCAATAAATATAAAAAAGTCTCATATAACAAAACTATTAAAATTATGTCGAATTTGTGAAGTAAAGCTTGGAAATCAAAGTCTTTTAACAAACCATGTATTTAGAATAGAATTGCATTTTTTTATACAAATCGACAAGGACGACCCAGAGATGCACCCACAGAAAATGTGCTACAGATGCTATTTAACAATGAGAAACATTGAAAAAAGGTTCAAACACTAATCTTAAATTAAAAACCTGGATTAGCAATTGCAAGGAATGTGAATGTGTTTGCTTCAAATTAAATACAGGAAGGAAACCAAAAAAATCTGTAAAGGGAAGGCTCTTAAGTATAGCCAATGATGAAATTTGGACTCGACAAGAAATAAATAACATACAAGCTAAATTTCCACTTCTGCTAACTTTGAATCTAAAATTACAAGACATTAATCAAAATCTTAACCCACTTTTACATCTTTGTGTCTGTTATATTTGCAATGATATTATGTATAAACCTATTATTTTAAAAAATTGTCTGCATTTGTTTTGTGCACCATGTATATTGCCACTTATTAATAATAAACTATTATCTGAAACAAAATGCCCTAAATGCTTATTATCAATTTCAATTGATGGATTACCTTCTTCTAGCAGTGTAATTGAAATGATAAATAATTTTCAAGAAGAATGTAAGCAAAGGTGTGGTAGATTATTTAAAGTGTCACAACTGTCAGAACGCATGAATCATCAAAATATTTGTAAGATTCTAATACCAATTTCTTCAACCTTGACAACATCATCATCACATATAAGTCTATCAGATATTCATTAAATTCAACAAGTGTTATCACAAGGGATATTGATGATGTTGCACTTCATATTATTAAACAAAAAATGTTGCAAACAACGTCTAATGTAATAGAATTTCAGACTGATGGACCAAGGGTAAGATTATTTTAGTTAAAAAAGAGAATTATTAATGTTATTATACTATTATATACTAATGTTATATATATATATATATATATATATATATATATATATATATATATATATATATATATATATATATTACTTATAAAATTTTATATTTAATATAATATAGTAATGTATAAAACGTTTATAAATTAAATGATTTTTTAGCCTTTGTGCTTCATATCAACACCAAAAGCATATAAAGAAAGTAAAGATTCAACTTTACAGACAGTTCGTAAACGACAATCACAGTTAAACAATTACATAAACACAACGTGTGATGAAAGCACGAGGTCTAAAATCAAGCAAACCTCTACTCTTTTAAAATCATTTAATGAAAATGAACAAGAAATTATTTTAAGTAATTCAAATATTTCAAAAACCAAAATATCTGCTGAAGAAATTATAAATTTAAAAGCTAACATGAGCAATACTAATGCCAACATGAAAATACTACCCAGGTACACAAATTAAAATTATTATATAAAAACTCAGAAAAAAATAAATTAAAACATTCACAACCTTTTCAAAAAAAAAAATGCACTATTGTTTTAGGTGGTTGAAAACCAAGAACGTCATTTGTGCTTCAAACGCACAACAAAGATGTGTGGCTAAAAAGTGGTCATGCGATGATCTTATTATTGAAAAAGCTCAATTTATGGTTGAAAAAAAGGAGTCCAAAGGTTCTTTTGAAATAAAAGAATTACCATGCGCTTATATCAACAATCTGCAAGGACATATAACAAATGTGCTAGATAGTTTAGACAGGTAAAAACAAATCTTATTTATAAAAATACTTATAGTTTATATTTCTTTAAAAATTTTTGACATGGAAGGTTTACATATAATACTATAAAAAAAATATTAATATACTATCCATGTTAAACAAACTAAATTTATTTGGCACACATTCAATATTATAGAAAAAAAATCAGTTCTAAAATTTAATTTTACTTCTATAATACGTTTTAGAAACAACTTACTATGAACAATAAGATTAAAGGCAATGAAATACATATAAAAATAGGAGGTGATCATGGAGGTGGCTCATTCAAAATGTGTTATCAAGTAGTGAACGTAGACAAGCCATATTCAAAAACAAACACAACTGTCTTTAATATATTTGAAGCAAGCGATTGTAGAACAAATCTGAAGTTTTCACTGTCAAGATTTAAATCAGAAATTGATTTGTTGCAAAACACCATTTCGAGGTAAGAATGCTACAACCAATTAAATCAAAGTATTAAAACAAAATTATTTATGTTGTTTAGGATTAATTTGAACTTATATAATTACTTTCAAATGTAGAGAAAAACAGATTAGTGTATATTTATTCGGTGATTACAAGTTCTTGTGTGCAATCTGTAGAATAACTGGTGCAACTGGTAAGTAAATATTTAATGTATATGTCTATTTAAAAACTCTCACAGACCATATTCCTGCTATATGATTGATTTTGTTTTCTAAGTATTTAATTGTTTGATAACTTCAGGTAGACATGTATGCCTGTTAT